AGGAAGGCCCTCTATGAGGTGGATTGATTCAGTGACTGGGATAATTGGGATGGGAGTGTCAGAGACAGTGCGATTGGCTCAGGACAGAGCGGAGTTTAGGGCTGTTGTACATAAGGTCGCTATGAGTCGCAGGCGACTGGACGGCACATAACAACAACAACAATTCTCAGTGGAATTTTGCTCTAAGGAGCTAATATACTCTGTGTGTGTGTACATGCATGTGCTTGCATACATACAATTGCAGTTAAACAAAACAGAAAGAGCTTTAACTGATGAAGAGGAACATTTCTTGTGCCTTGAAATTAAAAAGGAAAGCTTAAGAGTCATTGTGATTTCTTTCTCTCTTCAAGTCAAACTGCCTCAACAGGCTGCAAATACCTGTCTGATACTTAAAGATCCCCAGAGGAAAAACCATCCAACTTCCCTAGAACTCACAGCCTTTACTGTTGGGAAGTTCTTCCTTCTGGAAACCCTACATCTCTGGTTCATTTTAGGTTTTTTAACTTGGTTTCCAAGATGATTAACACTCAGTAAAAGTTTACCTGGTGCTAAAGGCTCATCTCAGATCCAACTCATTGTTGACCCTCCAGCTGGTTTTCAGAGACAGATAATCACACAAGAAGAGACTGCCCATTCTTCTCCCATGGAGCGTCTCGTGGATTTAAACTGTGTGCCTCTGGGACTGCAGTACAGCTAGCTTTTTACCAGTAGGCTGCCAGAACTCCTTCTGAATATTCATAATCTATATATTGCATCATTATGGCATTGTAATTAGAGCTTGGTCTCTGGAATCTGAACTATGAGGTCAAATCTCAGTTCTTTATTTTATCACCTGTGTGGTGCTGAACGAGTTCCTTTACCTAAGACTTAGTTAATACACATCTGTGAAAGGGGTAAGAATTTCCCCATAAGATTGTTGTAATGAATAATGCTTAGAATGTTGTTGATGCTATGTACCATCAAGTCAGAACTGACTCGTAACTGATCCTCTGGTGGGTTTCCAAAGGTAGTAAATCACATAGGAGGAGATTGTCCATTTTTTTCCCACAGAGCAGCTGGTAGATTCAAACCAAACTATTATTTTTATCTCCTTGCATTCTCACTACAACCCCATGGGAATCTTTTGGCCACTTGAACAGTTAAGCACCCTACTATTAATAAAAATGTTTGTGATTTGAACGTACCCAAAGGTATTAGAAATCTTTTTTAGTAGTTCATGCCCAAAAAAACCCTGTGGAGCACAGGTCTATTCTATGTGTTTGCCAATGGTTGTAATAGACTTAATGACAACTAGTACTTGGCTGGTATAGTAAGGACCCTGAAGTTGTCCTCAATACTATTGGCATCCATATTTTAAAGAAAATAAAACTTGGGCTCAGAAAAGTTCATTTGTCCACAGTCACAGAGCTTATAAAGTAAGTGAGCTGGGGTTATAAACTCAGTCAGTATATGAGCCACGGCACGCTGTTTCCCACTTTCTCATGTATCCAAGCGGTATCCTAAACCCATCAGCAAAAGACATTGCCATTACAAAGTTTCTGCACCCCAAAGATCCCTTTCTCTAGGCTTAATTACCCAGGGATTTGGCTGATTTTTTTTTCGTCATAGTAAATATTTCCAAATTTCTTACATATCTGGACTCTTCATTCCCTCTGTTTCTACTCATGGAACATTGGAAGGGTAAGTTCAGATTTGCACAGGGTAGATCTGACTCCCAGCTCCACCATTTGCCCTCTATGACTTAGACATACCATGTGAACTGTCTGTGCCTTTTCTCTTTTATATAATTGAGAGAATGACCCATTGTCTTTACGTTTATTAATGTTTGGTAAATAGGCCCTCAATGAATAGCCACTTTCTCTTCTTTAAGGAGTTCTTGTGGCACAGTGCATTCCAGTTGTGCTGCAATCTGAAAGGTCAGATATTTGAAACCTTTAGCTGTTTCAGGGAAGAAAGATGGGCTATCTCCTCTTGTAAATATTTACAACCTCAGGAACCCAATTGAAGGTCTTTAGTTGTAATCAGCTTGATGTCAGTAGTTTTTCTCTTCCTTACAAGAGAAAACTATGTTGTCCTACATTGTTAGCCAAAACTCCCTTCCGGGCTAGTATAGTTGATAAATGGAAACTTTTACCATTACTCCTTGGTCCAGTTTCTCACCATTTGAGCTAAAATCATCCACCAGGATGATCTCCTTCAGCACTTGAGAGGGGGTCCGGTTGATGATACTGGTGATGGCTCGTTGTATAACAGACAGAGCTTCATTCATGAATATGAGAATGACACCGAGGGATGGGAGCTGTGAAGGGTATGTCTTCTGAAGACACCTGAAGGAAGAGGAGGAGGAAGAGAACATTATTTATAACCACGTATTTATTATCTCTAATTAATTAAAATAACAATCTACTTTTCCTTCCCTTATGTACATAAATCAACCTATCAATACCCCAAATTAAATGTGGTAGGAAAATCAGTTGTTTATCACAGATGTTTTTGCTGCTGTGTGTTGTCAAGTTGCAATCAACTCATGACTGAGCCTCCAGTAGGTTTTAAACTGTGTGGAGATTTCCCATCTTTCTCCCTCAGAGCAGCTGGTGGATTTGAACCATCTGTCTTAGGGTTGGGAATTCAGCTTCTTACAATTCGGCCACCAGGGCTCCGTAGCAAGGAAATTTTACATGTCTATCCAAAATCTTCTACTACTGTATAAAAGCTATTTCTTATTTAAACCATAACTTAGCCTTCCTGGAAGTGTCTTCCTTTCTGTCATTGTAGCCATCATTTCCCCACCTTTTTACGTCAGCCATTTGTGGTTAAAACTCTCTGCATCACCACTGCAGTGACAGAACAAATTATCCAGAGAATTCTTCTTGACATACACACTTGGTTTAAATTTTCATAAGCACATATTTTAAATGCTTGCCATATGGTAAGCTTCTTATAACAACTTCATTGAAATATGAATCACAGGCAATAAAACTAGTGTTTACAAGCATGCACGGCAATGACTTCTGTGAAATTCACAGCATTGTCAGATGGATTTTGGCTGAAAGTAGAGAATATCAGAAAGACGTTTACTTGTGCTTTATTGCCCATGCAAAGACATTTTACTGTATGGATCATAAGAAATTATGGCTAACAATGAGAAGAATGGGAATCCCAAAACACCTAACTGTGCTCATGAGAAATCTATACATGGAACAAGAAGCAGTGGTCCAAACAGAAAAGGGAACACCGCATAGTTTAAAATCAGGAAAGGTTTTATCCTTTCCCCATACCTATTAAGTCTGTATGCTGAGAAAGTAATCTGAGCAGATGGATGATATGAAAAAGGATGTGACATCGGAATTGGAGGAAGGCCCACAGCAACCTGTGTCACACAGATGACACAGCCTTGCTTACAGAAAGTGAATAAGACTTGAAGCCCTTGTAACAAAAGATCAATGACTGTAGTCTTCAATATGAGTTATATCTAACATCAAGAAATAGAAAAAAAACCATCCTCACCAGTGGGCAATATAGATGGAGAAAAGATTGAAGTGGTTAAGGAGTTTATTTTACTTGGAGCCACAACCAACACTCATAGTAGCTGCAGTCAAGAAATTTAAAAACTAGCCCGTGGCCCCCAGGGCTTAAGCTGCAGTGCGACAGCATGAGTTCACACCTAACTGGACTCCCAGCCCACTGCAGGTGGCCCTTTTAATCCCGAGGGACACGGAGGCCTGCAGACCAGGCCTCTGCTGGGTTCACATCTTTGGTCTCAACTGGGTCCCAAAGATGATCCCTGGGGAAACGGAAAGTATGCTCCTCGACTAATTGTGTGTCATGTGTGTGCTGCTGACTAGTTGGACTAGCATGCACTGCAACTTAAACCAGTCCTTGGCTGTCATCCAATTAACTTTAGGTGTTATTGCAAGAAAGAGTCATAATTAATGTTGGCCCTTGGTGTTAGGTAGGAAAAAAGTTGAGGATGAGAGAGAAAGAAATTAAAAAACTAGTTGCATTAAGAAAATCTGCTATTAAGGGCCTCTCTAAAGTGCTAAAGTGATGTCAGTTTAAAAATAAAAGGGCACCCTAATCTAAGCTAGGATCTTTTTAATTACTTCCCATGCACCAGAGGTTTGAAAAATGACTAAGGAACATTGAAGAATAATTGATGTCTTTAAATTGTGGTGTTGGAGAAGGGTACTCAGTGTCCCATGGACTGTCAAACAAACAAAACTACCTCAGAGGATGTGCAACCAGAGTACTCATAAAGAACGGTGCTTCATCTCACATTCTTTGGGTGTGTTTTCAGGAGGGGCTGATCCTTGGAAAGAGACATCATTCTGGGAAAGGTGGAGTGTTGGTGGAAGAGAGGAAGACCCTCAATGAGATTGATTAACATGTGGTTACAGTGGAGATTGTGACAGAGGCATAGGATAGCACAAGGCTTAGATTTGTTGTTCATAGGGTCGTTATTGAGTCATAGTGGACTCAAGAGCACCTGACAACATTTATTATATCAGATTCTCTTCATTTTTTCCTGTAAATTCAAGTTACCACTTAGTTTAATTTTTGTACACCATACACCAGTACAGTTGTATCCCCACTCACCTCATCTGTGTAAATACAATATACCTCTGTATGCTACAAACTCAATTATAAAAATACATGTTTTATACTTCTATAAAAAATATTTTATAAAGTTATTGTCCATTTTCTTCAGAGAAGAAAGGAGAATCATAAGGACAAAACTAGGAAAAAAGAGAAGGTGAATTATGGCTCAAATAATAGAAGCTTGCATTGTTCTTAGTTAGATTTAGCAGATATTACGGAACTTTCCCCCACTTGCTGACTGTCCTTAAGGCGAAGTGCAGAAACATGAAACATTGTGGTTTTTATTATTTTCTCCAGTCAAATGTTTGTTAAACTAGGAAGAGGAACATCATGTACCATATTTTGACATTCTAAAAGCCTCAGTTCACACTTTTTAAAAAGTGTACATTAATCACAAACATTTAAAAAAAATAAGCTTTTGGCCTCTGAAAAACCAATTATCTGTCTCACTGTTTCTTGCTTTCCCACGTGAATGCACTTCCTCTAAGCAGTCTGAGCTTCCACGCTTACCCCAAAGTTATCCCTTGGCCACCAGTTCAGCACAGCTTCTCCTGCATGCTGAACATGTGCAGCCATCTCAGGTGAAATCATGGAGACGTCCGGGGAATTTTAGGCAAAGGCTTTAATATACATGCATTCAAAGACGCACAAGAAGAGCAGGAATCTCTTCTCCGAGAATTCAGTTGTAACGTCAAGAGATAAGGCTGGACAGACAAGTAGCCCAGTGTTTGGATTTTGCTCTCTAGGTACTGAAATGCCAGCTGCTATTATTACTCATGCACCCAATGTTGTTGGTTTTCATTACTTGGGCAACAGATTATTCACTAAGCAAGGAAGTAGAGGAGACTTAGATAAATTCAAGTTTAGCCCTGTTAAGTCTGAAATATCTCTGAATCACACCAGACAATTACCAAAGCAAGTCACTGCATGAACAGCCTGGGGCCTCAGAGGAACAATCTGGAAGTAAGTGGAAAATCATCATCAGGCAAGTGGTAGCTGAACTCATAAGAATGGGTAAAATCACCCTGGCTGCATTTAGAAAGGAAGCTTGGACTAACGTCTTCTTCTTGTTGTTGTTATTTTTGTTGTGTGCCGTCAAGACATCTGCAACTCATAGTAACCATATGTATGTACAACAGCCCTATCCTGCTCTATCCTGTGCCAATCTTATTGTCTCTGACACACCTAACCCTGTTACCCTAGTGACTGAATCAATTCACCTCATCGAGGGTCTTCCTCCCCTGCGCTGTCCCTCCACCCTCCCAAGCATGATGTCCCTTTCCAAGGACTGATCCCACCTTGCAACATGTCCAAAGTATGTCAGAAAAAGCTTCAGAATCCTTGACTCCAAGGAGCAACTTGGCTTCACCATCACCAGGACAAAATTGTTTTTTCTCCTAGCAGTCCAGGGTAGTTTCAATATCTTCTCCAGCACCACAGCTCAAAGGCATCAACTCTCCTTCTATCATCCCTAGTCATTGTCCAGCTCTCTGATGCATAGCAAGTAATTGCAAAGATCATGGCCTGTATCAGGCGCACCTTAGTCTCCGTTGCTCTCCAGTACTTTGGAGAGGTCTCTGACAGTAGATTTTCTCAATGCAATTTGTCTTCTAATTTCCTGGCTGCTGATTCTTAGGATTACTATTATTTAAAGCAAAGGCAGAGAAGCCTGATAGAGACTCCCTTTTCAATATTTTAAAGCTCATTTGCAGTTCTTAATGCCTTACAGAGATACTATACAATAATTAAGAACTTAATTGAGGTGGGTGATTTTAATCTGTGGCCCTCAGGCCTGGTTTTAATTGTTTTTGGTCAAACATTCTTCCAGTTGCTATAGCACTGGTCTATGCATTGCTGTAGAGAGGTAACTTGTGGTTGCTGTGATGCTAAACACTGGGACACTGATGTGTCAAATGCGATAAAGGTTACCCATGGTGGACAGTGTTTGGTGGAGCTCGTCGATTAAAACAAGCCTGGAAGCAGGAGTGGCATCCACGTCCAAAATAGCTTGCCTCCAGAAACTCTATAAACCTGGAGAAATGATGAAAGTTATACAAGTGTTCAGGTCTTTCGTTGAGAGGGTGGCGATGAGTCATCTACAACTCAACGGCACTTAACAATAACAATTGAGAAGTATTGTTGTAACGTGCTGTTGCGTCGAGTATGACTCATAGTGAACCTCTGAATGACAGCCTTGAACTCTGTCCTATCCCATGTCATCCTCACCATCTCTGGCATACTTGAGCCCACTGCTGCAGTCACTGCATCAATCCATCTCGTTGGCAGTCTTCTTCTCTTTTGTTGACCCTTCACCTTTCCAAGCATGATATCCCTTCCCAAGGAATAGCCTCTCCTAGCAACATGTTCAAAGTATGAAAGATGAAGCTTTGCCATCCCTGCCTCCAAGGGCCACTCTGGCTGTACCTTTTCCAAGATATACCTGTTTATTCTTTAGCCGTCCATGGGATGTTCAGTGCTCTTCTCCAACAGCACAACTCAAAGGCATCAATTATTCTTCTGTCATCCCTATTCATTGTCCAGCTCACAGAGTAGGTAATTATTTGAAGCGAAAACCGGATTAAAACTCTGCTCAACTTTTCTGCCCTCTAATCCACATATTCAAATCAGTTGTCTTCAGATCTTATTTCCTCCACCTTTTTGCCCATATATCTATCCTTCTTAATATTTTCTTGGCTGCATTCTAAATGTTTTCATAATGCTCCTCTTT